GGTGTGGTTCATTTGTGCAGATATGAACACGGTAATCACACTTGGGTGTGGTCCAAAACAACCAAGACCACAACCTCCAAAGGGTCTCAGCGCAGGTCCAAATGAACTCCAGAGCTGTAAGTTTATGGTTTCAACGTGACCTGAATCCAAACAAACTACCAGGTGTACGTTCCACGTTTGAGGTAAAAAACTTCCAGTAGATACATATGCTTTTTCTTCTGAATGTGGCGAGGTAAATATAGATGCGCGGAGGTCTGTACAGCTAGCAATTAGTCAAGAAATAAAACGTAAATTCTCCACTAGTCCACAACACAGCACCTTCTTCCTGTATTTGATTTTGTTGCTCCTCCCCAGACACATCTGGCCAAAAAGCAGACCGAACTTCTCACGTGGGTTGTAGTGATGCATTCAGACTCAGTTGGATTTTTCTCCGTGTGAAAAAGAAACCAAACCATATGGAAAAACTACAAGTTTATAAACTCATCAACTGATTCAAACCAGAGTAAATGAGCCATAGGTGTGAGAACGCACTTAGTTCCCACCTTAAGATCTAGGAAGTCTTGGCTCAGCTCTGGTTTGAGACTTGTTGACTTGACTCGGGACCTCCTTTTCTATCCTTTTTCCTGACCTAGCTCTGGATGTGTTTTGTTGTTGGATCTTAGTGGCCCTGATTTGGTCTTTTACTTGTGACTTGTGGGTCTCTACTTGGGCCTTGTTGTTTTTGACTCAGGGATTTTTCTTCAGAAAGTCTTTTGACCTAAGAGTCTTGACTTGGCTATAAATGCTGGTTCTTGACCTTGTTGTTATTTTTAGCTTGGTACTCAATGTTATTTATTTAGGACATGAATGGAAATCCCTAAACAAGACTTAACTTCTGCTCGTACAAACAAATGTCTCTCACATCACATCACCATACATCTGGCTTTTCTCTAAACTGGACACTATTCCTGTATATTGGATGTGAACTTAATAACCAAAATTATTGTATTTGTTTTTAGTCATTTTGGTAGTTAAGTTATTTTTATCTGTGTTTTCTACATCTGATTAAAAAAAGAAGTGAAATCAAAGTGGGAGTGTTGCTTTCATTGGGCCGGTCTGTTTCATGGAAACAACAAGTGGTCTCTTTTGCTCGTTCTTATTTGTTTCACCAAGTGGTGATGTTGCGCAGATGTCTGCACAGCAGTAATTACGGTAATGCTCTTAAATATGGAAATCATGACTTGTCGGCTTTTCATATGTCTCCATCAGCACTGATTTAATGCACCAGTGCAAATGTCTGGGTCTCAGGGAGAGAAAAAAAGAAGCTTTATTTCCCCACAAAAAGTTTGAACTCTATGACTGAAGTTTGGAAACACTGCATGCCGGACGCATCTGTGACTGACGTCACCAACGGCTCCTACGGTCAGAGTTCCTGGGGGCTTTAAGGCTGTAATCTAACAAGGCTGTTTTGATGATTAGAATCAGCTTTGAAGATGCTGTGAAGTTAGTGTTGTGTAGTTTATTATTCCCTGTGGTCTCTGTTTCCTTCTATTTTCACTGTTGTTGTACTTTCATTTAATTAACTTTGATTTTGTTTTGGTCTGAGAGGAAGTTGGTTTGGCCACAGAAAGAAGACACAAAGATGAGTTCAGAAGTACAAAGATTCACAACTCTTTTTGACTAATTCAGTCTAAATTATCGAATTTTACATCACAGATTTGTTATTTCACGTGCTGAAGTGAGTATGTTATCAGTATTATTATTAGAACTGAGAAGCAGAGAAGCTCTTTAACAGGACATTTTATTCTGGTTAAACATCAGTGGTTTGCATTAAACAAGTGCTCTATAGAAGGAAAAAAACAAGATCAAATGTATGTGCATGCTTTAATGTTGTTTCCAGATGTGATTTTTTTTT